AAGAAGTCTATTCCTACAACTCAGAATATTTTTCTGACCCACTGTAGCATTGCTGGCTTGAGCATCAGCTCCAACCTCTGGGTATGGAGCTTTGCCATCTGAGTCAAACCATATGGTTCAAGAGGTACCTGCAGTAAAATAAAAAGTGATGCTGTATGGGGTGTATAACAAGGACAAATAAGAAAAACAACATCATTAATCCCAGCATTACACAGTTCCATGCCATTACAGCAAAGAACTGCAGGCCATTCCTAACTCCTCAAATACTAGTAGAGATGGAGGGGGACATCAAGGATGTTACAGCCAGAGATTCCCATCATGAGCTGGCTTCTATCAAACCCATCAGGTCATATAGTACAGACACCCAGCAGCAAGGATTACAAGATGAAGAGGGCACATATGGCATGCAGGCACTGAGAGCTGGGAACACAGAGAAGCTACACAAGCAACTGGCCCAGACCCTCATCACCCACCACTGCAGCACTGACACCTCTCCCCCATTCAAAGTCATGGTGAAGGGGAGGGAGTTTGGCTTACAATAGATGGATGGTAGAACAGAAAAAGGGCCAAGTTTGGTCTCCGTGAGTTGGCTCAGCATGTGCGTTCAAGCCCTTGCTGAAATACAGTCCCATTTAGACATGGTCTGAAAGACAGTCAGGAGAGGAGGTCTTCCTGGCAGCCAGAGCTACAGGTGGTCTACCTGATAATCCATTTTGTGTAGGCAAAGAAAGAGCCCGAGGCAAAAGTATGGGCAGCCAGAGAGCTGCGTGATCAGTCAGCCTGGAAATAGAAATACTGGAAGACTGAGAAAAAGGAGGCCTGGGAAAGGGATATGGATGGACCTGAGGGGATAGATGCATCAGTTCTAGTCCACAGTACATGACCCATAATCAGCCAAGAACAAGAGAAGAGTACAGTTTAGAGATGATATTCTGCTGTGCTGCAAAGTCACTTTAAGGACACAGTCACTTCCCAAACCAGTGACCATTTCACTGCTCTGTACCCGATAAGCAGAACATGGACTCAGGAGACAAGGGGGTGGTCCTGTGTACAGTCACTCCCAGAGAATATTTTCTGCTGCTAATCTTTAAGAAGCAAGTAGATCTTACCAGAGCAAGGGTGGACTTCGGTGGTTATGACAATGCCATGTCTGGATCCACTTCATGACTTAGGGGCTCATTATTCAGCCTCCAAATGAGATGCCTGCTAAGTTACAGCTACATCATTCTGCAATTTCCCTGTAGACTAGAAGAACTGTCTAGCCCAAGGTTAGATCCTCTACAAAAGGGCATCCCAGATTCAATGACTATTAACTCCTGGCCCATTTGACTCAGGGTCTGAGCTCCTGACTAATTATAGCTGAGGATTCAGCACAGCTTCCAGGAAAGTGGAGCTTTCCCCTGGCCCAGCAGTGATGTTTTCATTTGATCTTTTTCCTCCCTTCCTTACAGTGTTCCAACATATATTCTCTAATAAACCATACAAATCTCCACCTTAATGTATTTCCAGAGAATCTGGCTGTGTTAGTCAGCTTTTCCGTCACTGGAACAAAATACTCAACATTCACAACTTAAAGGCAGAGAAGTTTAATTTGGCTCATGGTTTGGGGGACTCAGTGCATGGTCGACTGGCTCCTAGGCAGAAATGGCCTGATGGAAGGCAAAGGAAAGTTGCTCCCCTGTGGCAGCCACAAAGCAGACAAAGAAGGGAGGACCTGGGACAACAATACACACTTCCAAGTCACACTCCTATGTACAACCTCCAGCCAGGACTCTCACCTCCTGACAGCACATTTAGCCATGAACTCATCAGTGGATCGATCCCTGATGAGCACGGCACCCCCACGACCCAACAACCTTCCAGAGGCCCCACCTCCAAATACATGAGGCCTTTGAGGGACATCTGAGGTCTAAGCCATAATATCAACCTAAAACATATGGTGAAGAAGTAGCAAAACGATCCAAAAGGAAGGACGCTATAAAGGACACATTATTAAGAAGGTTACAGCTGTGGGCAGCCAGCCTTAGTCATCCTCAGTATCTGCCAACAGCCTTCATAGACCCGCCCTCAGAAGACTCATTCTGTGGGTAAAAAAGAGGTGGGGTAATAACTCACAAACTCCCTGCCCTCCTTGTCTGAAACTTGTTCCTGGGAGTTAATCATTTGCTACCTCTTACCAGCTTCCCACACCACAACACATGGACTTGCTGTCCAGGCCAGAAAACCCAATGAGGCACTGACACAAAGGTGCCTGACTGAGGCCCCCACTGCCACGCATAGAAATTTCTACCCAGGCCTGTGGCACCTCCTAGATGACTGAGAGTTTATGGATGGGACAAGGACCTCATCTGACAAACCCATCTGCTAATAGCTGGTGATAACACACACTCTACAAAATTACTGTGAGGACTCAATAAGATCTGTACATCAGACTTCTGCATAGGATGTCTGCAGGAGGGCAGAGATTTAACAGTGGCCATTGCAATTTCTCATACAGTTCTCCATCCAAATTTTGCTGCACTTCCCGGCGGATACCATGGATATTATTATTCTGATACAACATCACTTACAGTTGAGGAGGGCAAATCCTTTTGGAGCAACAGTCTGGTATTCATGTAAAAATGATAGATTCTGAGGATGAAGCCTCAGGGGTATTGGTGTGGACATGACCTTATACAAACCATTTACCATCATGACATTTCAGCTCTCTTGTCAGCTGGAATAAAATAACAACAATAAAAATTAAAAATGACTTATCTACCTTGCTGCATGGTTAGCAGCACCTATGGGGAAAGGCCCGTTTCCTGTTCCTTCCTACTTTTCCTGCTGAAAAAAAAGAACTTTTATTCCCTTTGAGGTAGTGAATAGTGTCCAGCTTCTTGTCTTCCACTTCAAGGCAGTGTATTACCTGAGTGGAGAGAATCAATAAAGGAAAATGACACTGTATTAGCAAGGGTGTGGCTGGGATGTAGGTCATGGTAGAGGACTTGCCTAACATACCCAAGGCCCTGAGTTCAGTCCTCAGCTCTGAAAAGAAAAAATAGCATGGCTATAGTGTAGTAACAATTCCAGGCCAGAATTTCCAACGCATAACACACTGAGGCTTATTTCTTGCTCACGCAGCCATTGAGCTGTAGCGAATTGGTCTACACAGGCCCCAGGTCCCTGCCCAGGTGCCACCCATGGAGAACAAGCCCACTCGGTCTTTCCCTACCCAGGCGCCACTTATAGGGACCTAGTCCTGCTAGTTTGTCGCCCGGACCTGGGGGTGAAGGAGGATGAAAGACAGACAGTCACAAAGTCAGTTTAGCACGTGGGCAGCCAGGGGGCTCCCACCTCTAGTGGGCAAAGGCGCCCTGAGTGTTTGGTTCATCCTGCTTTTACTCACTCAAACACAGGCACAAGCAATTACAGTAAGACAAGGTTCACCTGCCTCCTCTTATGCATTAGTACCCACCCAGGTGAACGACCCGGTCTCAGCTCTCCTGATTTTTCCCCAGAACCTGCAATGCTCCCTCATCCCTGCACACTGCCTTTCTCCTTTGTGCTCACAGAGGAGGCCAGCTAGGCCTCAGCTCTCCTTAACTGTTCTCCCACCCTGAGCAGTCCTCCTCCATCTTGTATCCCTGCCCTGTGAAGTACATAGTCCCTAAACTCACTACCTTGTAAGAAGATAGTTACCCAAGGATCCAAGGACATTTTTAAGAGCTGAGCTTGGGAAGTGTTCCATATTAGCCAGACCCAGTCACACTGCCCCACTCTTGCTGCAAGTGGGGCAGAGAGATGAAAAATGGTTCGTAGATACTCAGTAAGCACAAGCTCATCCTGCCACAGTGGGTAGAGATCTGGCCCTCATCTATATTACACACACACAAGTTGTGATTCTTCCTGCTCCACGTGCCAGTCATCTTAACAGAACAGTGATTCTTTACCACAGGACTCAGAGGGCGAGTCAGACCTCCAGAGACAAATCGGACAATGTTTTTGAGCTTAGAGCCAAGTCAGTCTCCAACCCAGCTTTGCCAGCAACAAAGCTAACATTTCATTTCCTGTTCCACTCCTTTGCTCCTGTCTGTTGAGTCATGACACAAGGAGATTAAGTAAGAAGTCATAGGCCAGCATCTTGGAGGTAAATCCCAAAGGTGTCTGGGCGGCTTCTTTGCTAAGCGAGAGTGCTACAGTAAGACAGCTCAGACTTTGGTGTCAGACAATACTTGTTTAGAATCTTGTCCCACCACTAAAGTAGGCATATCACTAAATACAGGATTTTTTTCAGGAATATTATGATTAACCGACCTGTAAAGCTTCCAGATACTAACACCATGCCTAGGATTAAACTGTAAAATGCTGCATTCAAATTCCAGCAGCTATTATTTGGCTTTGGGTTACTTTAATTAACCAAACTCTACGGGCCAAGTGGCACAAGGGTTACCACGGCTCCTCATGAAGAGGCCAGATAGAGAAGACTGGGAGTCCTGAGCACCACAGACTCAGCGAGTGTCCTGTGGTGATTGCTTCTGTCAACAAGAAAAGTAGATGCTTCTGCTTGTTTTCCCTCCAGGTTGAGAAAGGCTGGTCACAAAGGTGCTGGCAACAGCTCAGAGATATCAGTTCAGGGGCCACATCCACTAAGAGCCCACGGCAGTGTCTTATTCCCCAATGGCTAAAATAATATTTCCTTCCTGTTTTACTAACTTGACTTAGTGGCCCTTAGAAACACAACCAAAAGAAAGAGGAGGGGTGAGGTGCAGCGAGACCTTAGATTTGGCCTCCTGCCCATAGTTCTCAAGCCAAAGCTTCAAGAAAGAGCAGAGTTGAAGGGGAAGGCTGCTGTGGCCTTCCCTGTTTTTGTACCACATTAATCCCTGAGAGTAAACAAGGTAATTATCATCATGCATAAAAAGGCAATAGAATAGATTTAATCACTCAACCATTTCTGAATGTTCAAATGTCTCCTACATGCTAAGCTGGATGCTAAGTTCCCCTGGGAGTCCTTTTACCTCGCTGTGAGTATTGTGGGATCACAGGGCATGTTCCTCGCAGACCGTTGTCAGTGTGGCTCAGACACCATGCTGGGAGGCACGCTGCTGCCTGGCTTTGTCCACTCAGGGTGCACAATCTTGCCTTTAAGAGCTAGTTGGTCCATCCAGCTCACATAACACTCTTGGCCCAAATAAGGAAATTCAAACCTTCATTTTGACCTGTACAAACACAAACATATAAAAAAATGAGCTGGCAAGGAAACATTTCATATCCCCACAGACTGTTATGTACAATTTTATGAACACCTTAAAATACATGGAGAGAAAGAAAACTCTTAGTTAACTAACAAACCACCAGAGGCATGAGCTTTCATAGTGGTGTTGAACATCATGAGGAGCCTAGCTTTGGGGCCACTCCAAGAGTTTCAGGTAATCTGAAGATATATGTATAAACTCTTTCCTAAATTCTAAGTCAATTTAATTTTAATACATTGGCCATAGGTAGACAGACAGACAGACAGACATTCTTCTCTCTCAGATTTTCCTTCATGTGGACATATATGAAAGGAAGGAAAGACTTTTAAATCAAATAGCAATAGGAAATCACAGCCACTAAAAGGTAAAATTTACCAGTACATACATAGATGTTATGGAGACAGCCTCCTCACAAATATTAAAGCAACACCTAATAAATGCAATCGACTGGACAGCATCCCTTCTGCCTCACCCAGCATCAGAGCACTTGCCCTTGTCCTGAGCAGTGAGGTCTCTGTGAGAGTGTGTGATAGCAAGGTGCAGCCAGAAAACTTCCAAGAGGAGTGAAATACCTGTGGGGTGGCTACCACTGTCTTAGCAGCAAGATGAAACAAAAGAAACTCTCCAGCAAACTAGGTTAGAGACTGGATCTTAGAGAGCTGAGTCTGCCACGGACTGGATAATGCTTGAACTGTCTTCGTTCATTCATTCATCCACCCATTCATTCAGAAAATACTTACTGAGCAACACTCAGGGCCATGGTGCAGCAGCCAATCTCCAAAGGCTTTTCACACCTAACTGGGGGGCTGGGACGGCACAACTGTATGGAGATGGAGCATTTATCAACATTAGCATCTCTCAGCAGAGACAAACCCTGGGTCCTCTCACTGACTGCCTCATGCATACCGTCTTCATTATCCAAAAGAAAAAGAAGAACCCAATGGTTCTGGATCCTCCCTCACTCACTGAGAAATGGACAAGGTGGAACAGGAGAGGAGGTGGGTGTGTCTGTCAGGTGCTGCTGAGTAGCCCAGCTCCACCCACTCCCTCTTCACTAACTGAACTTTGGAATCTCACTCATCCCCTCTGCAAAATATCAGGTACAGGTGGAGCAGGTTGGAATGCAAAGGATGATTACATAATCTGTCTAAGTTGCAGAATGGGAACACCACCTGACATTGCTGGTTCTCATCTTCCCCGCCTTTGTAGAGCCCGGGAAAGTAATTCCACAGCCTAGCAATTAATCCCACATGTGACCTTTTGGCCACTAAGGATGCTTCCTTGTCGTCCCTGGGGAGCTTCAGAGCCATCACACAGGTCTTTCACTTCTGCAGCTCCTGTCTTCCCTGTCCCAGCCACCTGTTCACGTGAAGAAGTGAACAGGTCTCCACAGAAAGCTGATGACTGCTGCACGCTCGCGTCATTACTGAGTCAGCTGCCATCTGTGGAGGACATTCCTCCTCCTGGGCACAGGTACTCTAACAATTCAGTCCAGGCCTTCAGGAGCCCAGGAGAGAAGCACAGGAAACGGATGAGTTAAACACAACCAACGGACAAGGCTTTTGCTCAGACGAAGGACAGTACCCAAGGACTGTAGAAGAGAAGCTGAGGCAGGAAACCAGGAGGAGTGCAGAGGAGGCGACCACTAGCAGAGCTCTGAAGGGGCAGCAGGCATGGACAGCAGCGTGGGAAGGAAAGGTGTTTGTGTTAGCAAAGAACGGGTACAACTGATTAGAGGGGGCCAGACAGGAAGGGGGCACTAAGGATTGAGGCAGGAGCAGCAGACAGGGGCCAGATCCTCAAAGGTCTTAAACGCAGTTGCTAGGAGTTGGAGGCTGGAGGCTGGCTTGAAATGCTGAAAACACTGAAACGCCAGCATGAAAGATTTCCAGCACTGTACATCGCTCATTTGGGGTGGGCAGCCTCCAACAGTGGTCACCAGTAATCCCTTCCCTCCATGGACACACATGATGCCCAACTCCCTTCCCCTTCCACACGGTGACAAGCGACACGAAGCCAGTTCCGGGGTTGAACTTGGAAACACCAGGCAGCTTCCCCTCTGGCTGTGAGGAGCCAGAACCATGTGGTTCCAGCATAACGGGACACCACGCAGGAGAAAGAGGTCACATGGAGGAGCCCTGAGGTGCCAGACCCATGCCTGAGACCTCCCTGGACCCCTTGAACAGGCCTAGCTGCCGGTGGGTGCCACGGAGTGAGTCCCTGCCAGCACACACCACATGGAACCTGGCCAAACCACCAAGCAATAATAGTTGTTTAAATCATTGCTTTAAGCCTCCAAGTTTTCAGAAGATGTGTTACATACCAAGGCACAACAGAAACACATGTCACTTCATTTTCAAAGTAAAGGAAACATTACTCCCTCTGTTTAGATAGGAGGAAAACGAGGCTCAGTACAGCGTTCACTCCCTCACAGACAGAGCTATGACTTCCAAGTGCTGGGTAAGGTGGACTTGATTAGACTGGCAGATCAGTCTCACTGCACTTCAGCTGTTGGCAACTGGCAGACTCAGTTCTGATTGCTCTTGTGTCTGTCTCAACTACTCACAGCCTTTTCCTTACTGGCTATTAAATATCTGAAAGACTGCCTGGGAGCACGTGACTGTAAGAGGCATAAATCATACTCATCTTTGGGAAGTACTGGAAGACTTTCAAGTCTGTAGGAAACACCCTCCAGCCTTCCTTTCCTGGCCTCCCCGACCCAGCTTGCTCTGGGTACAGCCAGTGCATGAGGCTGCACTGCAGAAGTGCCCTCCCCAGTTTCTGGGGCACAGTTTTTGTACAACCAGACACAGATGTCAGCAGTCATGCCCCGCAGGCTGAACAGAACCAAACGTGGTAATAAATGTGCATTCCTTGCCTCACCTTTTCTCTCTTTACTTCATGGCTTTTGCTGTCTGTTTTATTACTTTCAAAAGTCCCTTGGAGTATGATTCTAGAGTAAAATTACCTCATTTAATTCAGTGTATTGCTCTTGGAAGTGAATCTTAATTCCTATGCTTGACATTGGACAGTAAATGAGATGCGTATATTTTTTCTAGCCTCTCCTTGCATCTCTGTGGTTACAGGGGCCTCACAAAGTGACACCAGGCCCTATCATGCATGGAGACTGGCCTGGAGCCTAAATGGAAAGAGACAGATTTCTGTACAAATTCCACTCTGCTGCACACTCACAGGAGGAAGGCAGTGACCTCAGTTATGCCCAGGTGGTTGCTTCAGGATTTTAGGCAGTTTTTCTCCAGACTGAGTGATGCAAAGAGCAAGGCACAAGTGGTGTGGATCCTTAACACTTTTAAAGACTCTGTTCTGTCCTTGACACCTGGCAATGCAGTTTAGTAAAGCAAGGGAGGTTTTGAACTTGGAATCAGAGGGCTACATAGACTTTTCTGAACCCATCCCAGTGGGACTTTCACCCCCACTACACAATGCAGCAAGGCGGGGAGTGGCTGGTCGGGCTCGTGGTACATCTGGCCACAGATCACGGTGGATTTTAACTCAGTGTTGCAGACACTGTTTTCTCTCGGTGAAACACTTCCTCTCTGGGCTTTGGGGCCATCCCACACTCTCTCCCCTATTTTCAGCAGCCCTTTCTCCCTCTGCTCCACTCAGTTCTCCTCCTGTGCCTGACCTTATGTGTTGGTGTGCCCAGGGCTCAGCCTCGTTCCTCCTCTCCTCTCACTCCCTCTGTGACTTCAGCCAGCCCCACGCTTCTGAAGGCAGTCAGACCGCATGCTAGTAACTCCCAGATTTTACCATTAAATCCAATCTTACCCACATCAGAAATTGCAAACCTAACAGATTCAAAATGGAATTTAATTTTCTCCCTTACCCCCACTCCTCCCTCAGCAAATGGTATCGCTCATTCTTCACCAAGGTGCTCAGATCAAATCTCGAGAACTGGTCTTATCTTTTTCTTTTGTACCAAATCTTATTCAATAAACAACAGCTTTTGCCTCCTCAACTGCTATTACCTTGGCCAAACCTGTTACGCTTTTGTCTAATTACAATAACTTCCTGCTAATTGGAGGTAGACTGTACCATAATTTCCAGTTACCGATGCTTCTGGACTTACGGGGTTACATCTCCATAAACCCATTGTGAGTTCAAATTACCTGGTCCAAAATGAACCTAAGACCTGCCACGTACCCTTGCTTACCAATACAGGACACTGTACAGTGTCAGCTGTTTACCCTGGCGGTCTCATGGCTGACCAGGAACTGTGGCTTCCGGCCACTGCCCAGCATCCAAGAGAGTTTTGTACAAAACATCCCCAACCTCAGGCAGAAATCAAAGTTCAAAGTATGGTGTCTGCTGGATGCATATCACCTTTGCACCATGGTAAAATCAAAAATTGTAAATGAAGTCATCCTAAGTCAGCGACCATCTGCATTCATTTCCCCATTAGTACTGTTTGCCATATACCTTACTTCAACCATGAAAGGGGACACAAATGCTGCCTCTCACTTCTGGCAGAAGAGTACAGAATAAACAGCATGGCTCCTGTAAGCTCTGGTGTCTCTGCCCGGAGCCCAGCAATGTTCCAGACAGAGCTCTTCCATCAGTCAGATCCCAGAGTGGGGATGGCATGGAACATCTCTACAAAGCACAAGGCACATTCCCGCCGCATGGTTCAGCCCACCGCACACTCTTCCATTTGACGCCTACCTACACAGCCAGCACCTCGCACCGGCCAGCCACACAGCAGCCGGAGGGATATCTGCAAGGTGAAATTAGCTCGTATCACTTCCCCACAGCTTCCCACTTGGAGTGACATTGACCTTCTCCCTGGACCTGTGAGCCCCAGGTAGAGTCCCAGCCTACCCCTCTGAGGATTCTCTTGCTCCTCCCCATTCTCCCTTCTCCCCATCCACACTGCCTCTGTTGCTGTTTCTTGAGTACACCCAGCTCCTGCCAAGCTTGGAGTTTCCACCTTTGCTGTACCATCTCACCAGGCTGTTCGTCCTCCAGTTATCTGCACAGTTAACACCCTCATTTCCTTTAGCTCTCGGCCCAGATGTCACCCTTCTGAGAAGATTTCCTGAACATCTGGTTTACAGTAGCCCCCCCACTCCCTCTTCCCAGCCAGCTCCCTGCTACTTCTGTCCTCTGCTTTGCTTTACTTTATTGTACTTACTCAAACCAATCAATATGTCATATATGTGCTTATTGATTTATTGTCCATCTCTCCTTGTAGAAATAAGTTCCACAAAGTCAAGGACTTTTTCTTGTTCAGTATTAAATCCCTAGAATCTTACAGCAACACAATAGAATTTTTTAAATATATATGTTGAACAAACAAATCAATGAATCAAGATCAAGTGACTGTCTGCATGAGGGTGGGCCAGCTATTTCACTTCTCTGAATGTAGTTTCCTCATCTGTAAAATGGAGATAGTAGGCCCTGAGTTGTTTACCTTACAAGTAAGGTGCCTTAGATACTCATAAGGTAAACAACTCAGAGTGTAATTTGTTTAAACTTCATAACAACCTTACAGAATTGGCTCTCCATATTCACTATTTAATATGTGAAGAATCTGAGCCTCATAAGGCAGAGGAACTTTTCCCAGGCAGATCTGAAAGATATGAAAATGACCTAGGTTTGCATTATTCTTTCTACTCTAGAAATAGGAGAAAGTACTTAGATTCAGGGGAAGAAAAGATGCCCTGTTCCCTGCCGAGGATTAATAACCTCTGGCTCTCAAGCTCTCCAAGAAATGATGACTCTGTTCTTCACACACCATCCCCAGAAGATTGCCAAGGCCCTGCTTACTGAACACAGACACTCCCTGCTCTCAAAGTGTGAAATGGAATCCAAGCTGTGGTTGCCGTTCATGAGGGTCTGCTCACTCATTTTCTCCAGG